TTTCATTTAAAAAGTAGACACAGTCCCAGGGCATGGTGGTATATGTCTTTAATCACAGCACTCTGGGGGCAGAGGCAGGCAGATCTCTATGAGATCTAGGCCAGCCTGGTCTACATAGCAAGTTCAGGCCAACTGGGGCCACAGGGAGACTCTGTCTCAAAAGAAGAAAAAAGAAAAAGAAATTAGGCACAGTAAGAGATTTATAATAGAAATAAACCATAAATTAGAAGCATTACAATAGCATATCATATTAAAAATTATAAAAATATGAATTTTTTGTTTCTGGATTTTCTATTTAGTGTTTTCCAACTGTGTGGCTGACTGAAGAGCGACTGAAACCATGGGTAAGGAGGACTGCTGTATTTCTCAGAGGCAGAATTACTGTAGTTTTCTCAGACTTCATTTTCTCTTTAGGTAGAAAGCGTTTTGAGATTTGAGAGTCAGTTACCCAGTTAAATGAACCTGGACCAGTTATGTAAAATCTCTGAGCAATTCTTTCCTAACCTATAAAAAGAATATGAGACAGTAGCTGGATAACTACATAATATTGGCTGTTACTAATATGGAGGAGTCCAAGGATGATGAAGGGAGTTCTGAGCAGGGCTTAATGGTCTTTGAATGGGAAGAAATGCCCAATGTTCATAGCCAAGGGGCATCATTGATTTCCAGGGTTCAGTTAGGAGGATGGGAACCCTGCTTGTCTGCATCACATAGCTACCTGGGTGCATCACATAGCTCCAACCTCAAACAGTGTGAGAAAAGGAAATGATTCTATTTAAAGTAAGACAGAGAACAGCCAAATCACAGCCAGAGCCAAGCACCCTAGAGACCACCCTAAAGACAGGCGCAAACAACACTGTGGAAGTGAGCGCCAGCTCTCAGACTATGCTTTGAGGCATTCAGAACTTACTGAAAGGGTCAGTGTTCTTAAACAAAAGAATGGTTCTGGAAAGTGGCCAGAGCATTCTGCACCAAGGAGATATCCTGAGACACTGTTCACTCAATTTTATTTACCTGGGCAGACTTGAGCTAAAACACACAGATGACATCTACACAGGCTCTAAGCATCCTCTGGATGTTGCTACTCCTGCAAAGTATCCTCCAAGCATGCAACTTCCACAACAAGCTGTTCTTGAACATAAACCCTGGGCCAACATGTTTATTTTAGTACGGTTTGGACTGTGTAAAAGTCTCT